TAATAAATAGATATTTTGTTAATTTACTATTCTTAGACAATAATTAATGAAATTGGCGGGAAAGTATTTCTAAAAATGAATTATGTTAATCCTTATTATATATTAATAGATAATTTTTTGGTCCATATTGTATAATTCATTTAATTAATAAGCAATTCTATTATTTTTCAATCAAAATTGATAAACAAATTATTTTTTAATATAATGTTAGATATATATTTATATGTAAATGCAATTGGATGTCAAATTGGAGGTCAATGATTATTTATTATAATATATATATATGAAAATTTATTAGAGCATCACATTCATACCATTCATTCAATAAAAAATTAACACTCTCTCTCATCCACATCATCTTCACATCAGCTTTCCACTAAATCTCTCTCCATTTAAACACACACCCACATCCTACACATTCATTTAAATACATGTGGGACCCATTATTCACTCATTTAATATAAATTTTAATATTCTATCCTCTATAAAAATAAAAATTTATTATTTTTAAATTATAATAATAAATTTTAAATGCATGAAATAAAATAACACTACAAGACTAAAATAAGTTAAAATAAGATTACAAAAGAAAAATGGCGCGGAGGCCGACTTTTGCAGAACGTCGGTGCGGAGAGCGACTAGTGGCACGGAGGCCGGTTTTTGCAGAACGTCGGTACGAAGACCAACTAATGGCGCGGAGGCCGGTTTTTGCAGAACGTCGGTGCGGAGACCGACTAGTGGCGCGGAGGCCGGTTTTTGCAGAACGTCGGTGCGGAGACCGACTAGTGGCGCGGAGGCCGAATCAACGTCATTGATAGTATTTTTTGAGGTATACCGCATTCCACGGATATCGCTGGGGCGTGCGGTCCAGATCCTCCAACCGATAGGCCCCATGGGGTAGAACTTGGCTTATTTTGAAGGGCCCTTCCCACTTCGGCTTTAAGGGGCCAGGATTGGGTCATGTTACTCTTTTGAGGACCAGGTCACCAGCTCGGTGGGTTTAAGCTTCGAGTTGACATATCGCTCGCTTCTCTGTTTGTAAGCCGCGTTTCTGAGCTCTGCTTGCGTTCGTAGTTCTTCGACCAAGTCGAGATTCATGCGTAAGTTATCGTCGTTCTGATTTTCCGTGAAATTCTCTACTCGGTAGGTTGGTGACCCGAGTTCCACGGGGACCATGGCTTCCGATTTATACGCCAAAGAGAACGGGGTTTCTCCCATCGACGACCTTGGAGACGTGTGGTATGCCCATAGGACGCCTGGCAGTTCTTCCGGCCAAGCCCCTTTCGGTGCTTCAAGTCGTATCTTCAAACCGTTCTTGATTAACTTGTTCACTGTTTCGACCTGGCCATTCGATTGGGGGTGATACGGAGTTGAGAAATAGTGCTTTATGTCGTGAGATACACAGAAGTCTTCCAGTTTTTTCCCTTCGAACTGTCTTCCGTTTTCGGTGACAATTGAGTTGGGCACGCCGAACCGACATATTACCGACTTCCAAAGGAAGTCGATCATCTTTGACTCGGTGATAGTTGCTAGCGGTTCGGCTTCTGCCCACTTGGTGAAGTAGTCCACTGCTACGACGGCGAACTTCACCCCTCCCTTTCCGGTCGGCAATGGTCTTATCAGGTCGATTCCCCATTTGGCGAACGGCCAGGGGCTCACGATTGATTTGAGGGGTTCTGGCACGAGATTCCTGTTTGGCGCGAATATCTGGCATTTATTGCACCTCCTTACCCAGTCGGCGGCGTCCCGCCTGAGAGTCGGCCAGTAGTACCCTCTTCGGAGG